AGCACAATTTTGGCTAAATGGGGTATAAATTGAGAATTCTGCCAAAATGGGGTAAAATCTGTCACAAAGCTCAAAATTGAGGGTAAACAATGGAATTAGCTCTTTTGTAAAACAAGCTGGTAGGGAACTTTGATTTGATCTATCCAAAATACTTTAAGGAACGGTTCATGATTGAAGTTTCGTAAAATTATCTCTTAATCTCATACTTGTGATCTAATCAGTACCAGAACTAATTACACCTTCGATTATGATCCATGTCCATATCATACGCTTAGTGCTAAATATATCTTCCTTTCGGGTGGTTTATGAGAGAGAAACACTTTTAGCGAGGCTAAAGTTTATTTACATGTGATTAGCAAGGCTAAATTTTATTTACATGTGACACTTTACATGTGTTGGTGCATTTCTCATTTTCTATGTCACTGCACGTGTACACTTACTTGAACCGTTTGGCATTTTACTTTACATAACTTGTATTCATTGTTCCCAAACTACTTTTATCTAGACGACTTGGAGGCCTAGTTTGCGGTGATTGAACTATGTTGTGATGCGCTTATTTTATGAACTGTTGTAGAAAATTAGCCATAAAAGCTTTTTTCAAGCAAACAAACATTAAAATAGGCAAAATGAAGTTAGAAAACAAGATTATCGTAATCCACCAGAGTATCAAACACATTCGATTGTCACAGTACACACCATGCAAAATAGGCGCACAATGGATAACATCTCTCTCTCTCTCTCTCTCTCTCTCTCTCTCTCTCTCATTGCATTGCAGTTTTCAGCTTTTTTTATGCAATGGAAAAAAATTCCTGCTATTCCATAATGAGAAAACCTTGTGCAAATGTGTTTGCAGAAATGCAAGATCGAAACAAACACCATCGACAATAAATCACATGCGAAATTTCTACTCCCGACGCATGCTTAATCACCGTAGTACATATCATTTGCAAGATTTAGAACCTATCAAATCTTTTTAAATCCAAGGAGTCCTAAAGTGATGAGTCAAATGTTAGCTGCCAACTATGTGCGTGCGTGTCTCATGCCCACATTTTGATAGTGGTAGTTCTCTGATTACTTGATTAGTCATGTTTGCCATAAAAAAGTGTGATCTCTTTCTTCTTCAATAAATAAATAAATAAATAAAGTGTGAGCTCTTAAAGCTTACCCTTGGTTTGGGCAAATACTAGCTCTGCAAGCATCAGCGGAAGCAGCCTGTTTTTCTTTCGCCGGTGCTGAACTTGTAATGCAACTTGACTTTGGGTTTCACCATATGAAGCTGTGAAAAATGCAACAATGTAAGAAGAAAAATTGTCCTCTTCACTTTGACGTTTCACACCTAGGCTTGCCAGCCCAGCAGCCCAAGAGCCTCCAAATTGGCCTCTCGCTTTCCGGCCCCATCTATAAATACCGCGGCGAGGCCTTCCCACGCCCTCCACCATTCGAAAGATCCACCGAAGATTTTTCTCCTCACTCTCCTCGACCTCACAGCTCTCCTCTGCCAGCAGCGCAGATTTATAGACACAAGCTAGCACACAGCAAGCTCAGAGCACCTCGCTGGTCTAAGTGATCCTTCTCAAGGATCATTTGGATGGCCTTCTTCCTCCTCCTCCTCCTGTGCATCCTCATTTCTGCGGCCATCGTGTCCTACGCCCACCACGTAATCCGGCGGCAACGCCAGGGCTGCGCTCATGGCCGCCATGAGCAAGCCGCCCTCAAGCTGCCCCCTGGCTCCATGGGCCTGCCTTACATCGGCGAGACCCTCCAGCTCTACTCCCAGGACCCCAGCGTCTTCCTCTCCTCCAAGCAGAAGCGGTACGGCGAGATCTTCAAGACGCACCTCCTCGGCTGCCCGTGCGTGATGCTGGCGAGCCCGGAGGCGGCGCGGTTCGTGCTGGTGTCGCGGGCAAACCTGTTCAAGCCGACGTACCCGCGGAGCAAGGAGCGCCTCATCGGCCCGTCGGCGCTCTTCTTCCACCAGGGCGACTACCACCTCCGTCTCCGCAGGCTCGTCCAGGGCCCGCTCGGCCCCGAGGCCCTGCGCAAGCTCGTGCCGGACATCGAGGCCGCCGTGCGGGCAACCCTCGCGGCCTGGGCGGACGGCGACGTCGCCAGCACCTTCCACGCCATGAAGAGGGTAAGCTATAGCAGCTAACTCGCTCAGCTGCGCGTGTAGTTGCTGTCCAGAACAGCGCTAGTGTTGGATATTAATCAGTGCATATGTTGTTTTCGTCAGCTCTCGTTCGACGTCGGCATCGTGACGATCTTCGGCGGGCGGCTGGACGAGCGGCGGAAGGAGGAGCTCCGGCGGAACTACGCCGTCGTGGAGAAAGGCTACAACTCCTTCCCCAACAGCTTCCCCGGGACGCTATACTACAAGGCGATCCAGGTAAGCAACCGACGAAAACCGTGCGCCTTCGTCACGTTCGTCGTCGTGGTGTATACGTCTTTAATATCAGCAGCACAACAATATACACGAATGCCATGTGACGAAAAGCGCATGCAGGCGAGGCGGCGGCTGAACGGCGTGCTGAGCGACATCCTGCACGAGAGGAGGGAGCGGGGCGAGCCCGGCGACGACCTGCTCGGCTGCCTCATGCGGTCGCGGGCCGGCGGCGACGACGGCGACGAGGGCGCGCTGTTGACGGACGAGCAGGTCGCCGACAACGTCATCGGCGTGCTGTTCGCGGCGCAGGACACGACGGCCAGCGTGCTCACCTGGATCGTCAAGTACCTCCACGACCGGCCGAAGCTGCTGGAGGCCGTGAGGGCGGAGCACGCCGCGATCCACGAGGCCAACGACGGCGGGAGGCGGCCGCTGACATGGGCGCAGACGAGGAGCATGACGCTGACGCACAGGGTGCGTGCCATACACTTCAAGGCTTACAGTTATATGTTTTCTTGTACCGTGTGGTTGCTGATCGATGTCGCCCGTCGTACGCGCGCGCAGGTGATTTTGGAGAGCCTGAGGATGGCGAGCATCATCTCCTTCACGTTCAGGGAGGCCGTGGCCGACGTGGAGTACAAAGGTACGTACGCGACGCCTGGGCCATCACGTGCACAGCAGCTAGCTAAGCTAGGGTCGACGTGGCGCTACGTAGACGTGGCGTTGCCGTGCATGGGATTTAATTTGGGACGGTGCGACGATGATGAGGATGATGCGACCTGACGTAAAATTTTGCCTGGCGTGCAGGGTTTCTTATCCCCAAGGGGTGGAAGGTGATGCCGCTCTTCAGGAACATCCATCACAGCCCGGACTACTTCCAGGATCCACAGAAGTTCGACCCTTCGAGATTCAAGGTACGTACGCGTCGCCCTCGCCGGAGTGCAACCTCGATGTGGATGCGTCTGGCCAAACTGAAAATCGTGACCTTCAAAAAAGCAGCAACTGAAAAATTGTTCCTTTCGATGCATTAAATCGTGCCCTTCATTGGTCAGTCAATACGCTCCATTCATGAGTACGACAACAGTAACCTGGTGAATACGGTGTTAAATAAGTACACTACTTGAACACGGTTAAATCTTGACGATACATGCCCTATCTAGAATACTTGAATCCGGCTTTGTTTCCCAGATTAGTAGAGCCAACTTTTTACGGGATCTCATTTTCTTGTGGTGGTGAAACATGCAGGTGGCGCCGCGGCCGAGCACCTTCACGCCGTTCGGGAGCGGGGTGCACGCGTGCCCCGGGAACGAGCTGGCCAAGCTCGAGATGCTGGTGCTCATCCACCACCTGGTCACCGGCTACAGGTGCGTGCCCCCCTCCCTCTCCACACAGATCCTCCATATATTCCCATTTGTGATTTGTCCCTGTGGACAAGAACGTCCCATGGCTGGTGCAGTGGCGCCAATTCACCGGGCCACCCTTCACCTGGCGCCCAGTTCCACGGCACGCATACTCCAACCATGCACCGATCGTGTCCTGTCATGTCATGAAAACCCGGGTGGTCCTCCGCTGCCCGCCCTGCCTTGCACGTAGAGGCGCCTATGAGCTGTGCTACCGCTGATCACTCGCTGCCATGGAGACAGCTGTGGTACTAAATCGGTTTAGGTAGGAATGGGGGTGATGATTGATGTGTGTTGGTGCTTGGTTTTTGCAGGTGGGAGGTTGTTGGATCGAGCGACGACGTCGAGTACAGCCCATTCCCTGTTCCCCAGAACGGCCTGCTCGCCAGGTTACGGCGGGATGACAGCGTCTGCGTGGGTAGGAAGGGGTGCCCGACTGATGACAACTACGACGACGAAGACGAAGTGATAGTGTGATTAGTCAACGTAGATAGCTAGAGGGCTCTTCTCTCCCTTTTTGTTGTTATTGTTGTTGTTGTTGTTGTGGCATTCTTCTCTAGGAAAATCATTAGAGAAGAAACAACAGAACGACTTTTTAGGATGACGATGATCATGTACCGTAGTGCTTATGTTGTCAATGATGTATTGTCATTGATACACGCATAAAATGACGCTTCCTTTTTCCGGAATATTGCATTGAAACAATTCACTTCAGCCCCCCTACGACCACACTCATAACTCGAAAGCACCTTCTCTCTCTCTCTCTCCCTCTCTCTCTCTCTCTCTCTCTCTCTCTCTCCCAACGGTCTTAGGGAGATCTATCGATTGGGAGGGAGGTAGTGAGTTGATGATGTGCGACACACATTACCGAGCTGACTTCGTCTCCGATCTATGGGCGGCGAGCCTACTCGTTTTTCGGTTGGGTTTCCTTCTCCGGCGAGGATCCACGCGGAGGGTGTTGCTGCTCGACAACGAGAAGCGGTTCATCGAAAGCCAGGGAGCCGAGTGAAGGACCGATTCGAGGAGGAAGGCCTGGTATGTTCCCCTGACACCTGACACGTATACGTGAGCATGTGGACCACAATGCACGGGAGGCGAAGTGGCTCCCCATGAGTGCCCCGGAGGTGGGGCTGTGAGAGGGGAGCGTCCATTGACCCCTTGCCTTCTGGCGAGCGCTCTCCTTTCTCCATTCAGTTCTGCCCATGGGGATGGACCGGAGCGCGGATTGGAGGTATATGCAGGAGGAGGTGCAAGCAAGCTGGAGAAAGCGAATGAGGTCCTCTCCTGCTTCCCAAACGTGAAGGAGTTAATCAAGGAGGTGATCATTGTGACTATGGATGCGAACATGGATGAGATTGCAAGATGTTTTTTTTTGGGTGGGGGTATGGATATTAAGATTTAGGCGATGGAGGAGGCGGATTCAGCAAATCTAGTCCAGCGCGCTCGCCAGGCTTTGTATTACTCCAAGAGGGGCAACCCTCAGAACCCACCAATTGATGCGAATGTGGTGGCGTTGGCGATTCCGACATCACGTGCATAACAAGGAAATTTTTTTCCTCTCTATCAGGAATAGGTCATCCCAATCCCCACCTACATTATATTTTTGTAAGAAAATACCGATCCACGTCCAATTATCCCATTACGTGCATCAAACCACATATCATAGTGTTATTACATCGGAGTATTGTCATGCTGTCCTAGCTGTCATGCATGGGTCTATGCAACATGATAGCCTATTACACTGTGGTATGCCGATCACAATGATGGCTAGGCGCAACCTGTGTTGGCGTCTGAGCATCATTAATGTTGATGAACAGATGAATGAGCGTGCAGTTCATAATTTTATTGCTATGTTTAAAAGGAGTTGCCTAGCACACCCATTGTGGCTCTGAGAGTGTTGTTCAATCTCAATTTCAAGCAGGCCAAGATGATGGAAGCTACTCTGTTGAGGCATGGTGAACATGACGCCCTGGACGAGGAGGTGCACGACATGGTTACCTGATGCATGCTCCCTATTGCTTCCAGGTGTAATCCCAATTTCTATGTTGTTGCATCTTTATGTATCTGGTTTGAGGTTTTCTTGTCGGCCTTTTGTGTTGTGTGTTGTTGGGTGTGCTCAACTCTAGGGTTATTAGGTCAACTATTTGCCCGACCATAGGTTTGAGGCCTGCCTTTTGCAGTTGATTGAGTCAAAGAAGAGGGCCCCTCGCACACAATTTTTTAGCCCAATTCCTAGTTGTGTTGTGTGTGCACCTATCACTACTGTTCATGTTGATCTATCATGATGCAATGTCATCTATTTTGTATCAAGTTGCTCCAAGTCTATGAATGTTTACACATGATATCTCTATGGTGAATTGGAATGTCCACGGGTTGAACTGCCCCGGCAGGAGAACCACTAAGCATGAGACGATCGCCGCCTCGGTGTGCAACACTGCGTGCATCCAGGAATCGAGTATACAAGTCATTGATGCGTCCACGTTGGATGGTTTGGGCTGCATTGTTTTGTGCAAAGGATTGTGATAGACACAAGGGAAGGGATTGTGATGTTGTTGAACGATGATGTGGTTGAGCCAGATGGCTTATAAATCGGCTCTTTTTGCTTATCTGCTGCCATCAAGTGGCATGAAGGCACGTCCTTTCACACCACTTCTTTTTCTCCTGACGGCACACGATTTTTTGCAAAGGTCATTGCTCATAAACCTTTGTTGGGGTCAAGTGGCTTGTCAACGGAGATGTTACCTAGATTTATCCAGTTTCGTCGATGTATCAATAGATTTCATGCCACCCTTAATGCATGCAAGCTTAGAAAAATCCGCTTACAGAACCGTTGTTTCACGTGGAGCAATGGCAACCTTGAGCAAGTTGGACAGTGTTTTTTGGAACTCAGATTGAGACGTCCATTTCAGCGACCACATTCTTCATGCCCTCTGCTCGTCCTTATCGTAGAATTGCTAGTTTTTATTAGCTCCTCTAAGTGTTTTGAGGAGGCTGTGCAGTTTCAATTTTGAGACCTACTGGATTAATATGGCGTGCTTTAAAGAGATGGTCAACTCGATATGGGTTGAGTGGTCAGAACACCATGAGCCTTGCTAGGTGCTTTTCCACATGATGAGGGGGATGGAGTTGATCAAGTTGATAAGTTGGAGGCAATCCTTTATTTCTTCAGCTAGGCTCCACCTGCATATGACACTTGATTTTATCCTTTGGCTTGAGTTTGCTCAGGAATCCAGAGAGCTTTCGTCAGATGATCGAGACTTGCGTAAGAGGCTAAAACGAAGAGTAGTCACTTTGCAGTTCTTGAGAATTCGATGAAACGTCAATATGCTCATGTCAGAAATCCGAGAGAGAGGGTGATGCCAACATGAAGAATTTCCATATTAAGATAAATGTTAGGCAGAGGAAGAATTTCATTCACAGGAAGAGAGAGAATGACTGGGTCACCTAACACAAGGAGAAGGAGCTCATTGTGCATCATCATTCCACCTCAGCCATGAAAAGGGGGCATGGAGGGCCCATGATTTTAAATGGCGGGCCATGAAATTCCTTGCAAGAAATCTCACCTGTTCGGGTGACGGTTTGACGAGGTGCTCGCTACCATCAAGTCGATGTCTAGAGACAAGGCCCTGGGACTAGACGACTTCACGAGTGCTCTTTTTAGGGCTTTCCAGCCCATCATCAAATCTGATCTCATGGCGGTTTTCTTCGTGTTCTCATATTTGCACGCAGGCAAATGTGGTACTTCTCCCAAAAAAAAGAAGGTTATGAGGTGATCTCTGACTTCCTTCCATCCCATTAGTCTCATCCGAGTCGTGCCAAAGATGTTTGCCACAAGTCTTGCTCCTTTGGTGAACACACTAATTTCGTGAGCCTAGAGAACTTTTATTAAGACGAGGAACATTCATGATAATTTCATGTAGATGCATCTGTAGCCGACTAACACTTCAGTGCTCTTACTCAAACTTGACATCAAGAAGGTCTTCGACTCACTGCACTCGGAGTATTTGCTTGACCTTCTATAGAAAAGAGGTTTCCTGTTGAGGTTTCAAGATTGGCTGACGGCTTTGCTACATACTTATTATACTCGTGTCATGCTTAATGAATTTCCATGGCACAGGATCACACATGGGAATGGCCTTTATTAGGGCAGCCCACTTTCACCTCTTTTTGTCTTGACCATTGATGCATTTCAACACATACTTGATTTGGCCACCGAGTCCGGTGTCCTTCACAAATTGTGTGGCATGGAGCTTTCCTCCACACCTCCTTATATGTCGATGATGCGTCCATTTTCAAGGCTCCTATCAAAGAAGATATTAATAACCTCATGCGCTTTTTGCAACATTTTAGGGATGTTTACCTCCCTTGTTACTAATGGGCAGAAACGCCTTGTTGCCACCATGATGTTCGCAGATATGCCTTGATGCACGCAGGAAAATTTGGTACTTCTCCCAAAGAAAGAAGGTTATGAGGTGATATTCTGACTTCCTTCCAGCCCATTAGCCTCATCCGAGTCGTACCAAAGATGTTTGCCACAAGGCTTGCTCCTTTGGTGAACACACTGATTTCGCAAGCCTAGAGCACTTTTATTAAGATGAGGAACATTCATGATAATTTCATGTAGATGCATCTGCATCAGACTAAAACTTCAGTACTCTTGCTCAAACTTGACATCAAGAAGGTCTTCGACTCACTACACTCGGAGTATTTGCTTGACCTTCTGCAGAAAAGAGATTTTATGTCGAGGTTTCAAGATTGGCTGACGGCTTTGCTATGTTTGTTATATCGTGTCATGCTTAATGGATTTCCATGAAAGATGATCACACATGGGAAGGGCCTTTATTAGGGCGGCCCTCTTTCACCTCTTTTTGTCTTGACCATTGATGCTTTTCAACATGTAAGTGCATCTAGTGCAACCCCTAGTTTGGTTTTGGAGTATTGACGACAAAAGTGCTTGAGGGACTAATGTGTTTGTGAGAATTGCAGGATAACACAGGTAGTAGTCCCTCCTTGATTCGGTTTACCTACCGGAGATGACCCCTAAAAATGTATGAAGACATTGAAGATAACGGTGGTACGTGAAGACATTCACACTGAAGACTATGACAGGAGAAGACATTGAGTGAAGACTATGGAGCGCGAAGACTTAGTAGTTTCGTTGTTTCTTTTCTTCTTTGTTGAGTCATAGGAACC